AACTTAAGATTCACTCATTTAGATCCAAAAGGAACTATTGTTCTGGTAATTTAGTCTCTTAACTTTAAAAAAATATTTAATTAATCACAAAACTCTAATTATTATGCATTGAAATCCTTTTCTACCTAGAGAATGAAAACTTTTTACATTTTTTAATAATGATCATTTTTAGTTATATAAAGATTTTTTTTTTTATATTTTTGATGAATTGATATGTTTATTAATAATGTTATTTATTTTTTTTCTTTTATTTGGGAAAAAATGTAATATATGATTTCAAGTACTTCATATATTTTTGATATATTTTTTTAAAAATTTCGAACTAAGTTTTTTTTTTCCCAGCGCATTGTTAAAAAAGGGAAAATTGATCTTATGTACATGGAAACATTAGTCAAAAGCATTAATTAAATAGTAGTTAATTTATTATTAATTTTTGGTAGTGAGGGTATACTTACAATTGTAAAAATCATAGGTATAAGTTAGTGTTATACTCATAATTATATGTGATTGAAGGTATATCTATTGTGTATACCTCCGGTTTTTTATATCTGTAATTAAATCTTAAATTCATATACCTACGAATTACATGCCGTAACTAATAGTTTTTTTATATACTTACACCAATTGAAATTACGTAGCTATAGTGTAATTTTTCCTACGGTTTTTTTGTGGATGTAGCTATAACTAATCCATATACCCACAAATTATAAATCATAGCTAATAAAACCTTATACCTATGAAACAGTGAGCGTAAGTACAAAAAAGCGTAGCTAAATGGCAAAAATGCTGTAGTGTCTGATCCAATCCCTTCACCACGACCTAGCCCAAAAATTCCGAGTCTCACCCAGGTTTGCATACATGGGACTTCCTAGTCCCAGGGTAACAGCTATACGGCTACAATTAATTAGCAACATTAGGCACTTCTTGTGCTCAGAATTTTGCTTCAACAGATTACAATGTAAAATAGGTTAACATCATTCTTTGTTCTTTTATTCATGGATTTTAGCTATTCTTAGCTAAATCATGTTATTCCCAAAATGTTGGTGGTAGTTATTTTTGAAAATTGTGAATAAGCTGTTGTATTGAGATAATGAATAACCCTTCAAGAAGTATATCAAGTAATAAAGAATTTAAGGTCACAAATTAAAAGGATTTTTTTAAACTATAAACTTAAAGCATAAGTTAAGAGGATTTTTTTTTTTATAATAAATATGTATTAAAAAATGTAAAAATTAATATTAATTTTATTATCAGTTAAATTTAATTAAACAGTTAATA